CATCCCCCTGCCTCCAGCCCCCACGGAAAGTCGTCCAACCGACCCCCACCCCTCCCTCCTTTCCCTTCACTCACTTCACTCTCCCAGGCGAGGCCCCCCGAGCCCCCTCACCTCTTCGCACTTGCGCGCAAAGCTCACCGGGACTCCATGCCCCGGCAGGCTTTGCGCCAAACTCCTCCGTCCTCCTCCCCCCTCAACACTGTCGGAGACCCAGGCGTCGGTTCAGCCGGACAAGCCACCACCCCCCCGCCCAGCCCGCCGGCCTCACCGAGAACTACATTTCCCAGGAAGCTTCGCGGCAACGGCAGCTTCCCATTGGCTCTCGCTCTGGAGACCCGTGCACGTCCCCAAACGGCTCCTCCAGCGCCAGAACTGCATTTCCCAAGATGCATCGAGCCATTGCAAACATGGCCTCTCTTAGGGCGCCAGGCTTTGGACTACATTTCCCAGAATGCATGGCGACATTCGAGCATGCGCAGAGGAGCAGCCGGGGGCGAGGCCAACACTGAGAGAAGGTGGGGCCAGGGCAGCGTTGTCCTCGAGACCGGAGGAGGCCGGGCGTTCGGGAAATGGGGCCCCTAGACCCGGGAACGGGCAGGCGCAGAGTCCTCGAGGAGCCAGGGCCAGAGTTCCGCGCCAATCAGCGCCTGCGTGGCGTCTCCTTGACAACGGGTCGTCTCGCGCCCCGCTCGAGACGGGGCAGAACTAATGAAGTCCAGGTCGGTGCGGGCTGTGGTCGTGACGCCTGCGTCTCCGGCGGCTCTCCGTCTGAGCGAACCTGGCACTCGGCCTCTGGCTTCAGCCCCATCTGTGAACCGCCTGCTACGCGCCCTGCACATACTCGGACACGGCCATGGCCTCAGGTTCTCCATCTCAGAAAGGGGAGCGTATTTGGCTTCTAGAGCGTGGACCCGGAGAAGTTGTCTCCGTCTTCACCCGCGGTTCCTCCTCGGCACGGTGAGGGTCAGATGCCTATCCCACCTCCACGTGATGCTGGTGCAAAGTGTGACAGCAGTGGCACGTGACAAGTACTCCCCAGGGCACAATGACTTTCCCCTGCTTTCACAGGCGGTTGGCGGCTGCGGCAGAACTTCTTGCTCCAGACTGGGTGACAGCCAACTGCCTTGCTGAGGCCACCTTTCTGCCCCTCTTCGGTCTTGCCTATTGTGTTCCAGCCAAGAACGTGCTGATCTTGTGCCGGCTCACAGCCAACTGCCCACTTGAAGGCTTCACTTGTACTTTTTTTTTTACAGCTGACATACAGTATTATATTAATTTCAAGTGTACAGCGTGGTGGTCGGAGGTTTATACACCTTACAAAGTGATCCCCCCAGAAAGTCTAGTGCACATCTGACACCATATGGTTATTACAGTATTATTAACTGTATTCCTTGTGCTGTACTTTACATCCCCATGACTTTGTAACTGGCAGTTTGTACTCCATCACTTCACTTTTTCACCCCCCCCCTCTCTGAACACCCCTACCTGGCACCTGTCAATTTGTTCTCTGTATCTATGAGTTTGTTTCTGTGGTGTGTTTGTTTCCACCATTGCTCTTCATCATATCGCCTGGTCTCAGTCTCTGAGACTCACCTGAACAACTGCTCGGGCCTCCTTGGGAGTGTCCTGCTTCTGCACTGGCCTCCTCCCACCCCTACACCCCACTCCCTTCTCCACACAGCAACCAAAGGGATCTTTTTTCTTTTTTAATTGTGGTAAAGTGTCCATAATATAAAATCCACCATTTTAACCATTTTAAACGTGCAACTCAGTGGTGTTAATTATATTCACATTGTTGTTCAACCATCATCCCTATCATCATCTCCAGAACTCTTTTCATCATCTCAAACTGAAAATGACCATTAAACACTAACTCCCCGTTACTCCCTCCTTGGCCCCTGGCACCCACCGTCCTACTTTCTGTTGATGCGTTTGATGACTCTAGGGACCTCCTGTAGATGGAATCACACGATGTTTGTCCTTTTGTGTCTGGCTTATTTCACTTGAGCATAATGTCATCCAGGTCAATCCATGTTGTAGCAGGTATCAGAATGCCATTCCTCTAAGACTGAATAGCATTCCTTCGTGTGGATGGACCGCATTTTGTGTATCTGTTAATCAGAGGGCTCTTCTTAAAACTTAAGTAGGATCATGTCACTCTTTCTCTTTAACACCCTCCAGTGCAAACCCTTGACCCTGGCCTATGAGGTCCCACATAATTGTGCTCCTTCAGATCCAGGGTCCCTCTAGCTTGGCTGGTGCCTTTGTGAAAATTAGAAAAGGGTGCCACGAGAAGGGCCTCAGGCCTAAGCCGGGCACGAGTTGGGCAGGTAGATGGGGAAGAGGGCTTGGCATCCACATCCTGCCTGGCTGGGTCCCTGTAGGTAGGGTACAAGGTCCATCCCTGCCATCAGCCAAACACCACTCCCCCTCACAGTTCAGGTGCTCCACCCCGCTGGCCTAAGGGTCCTCTAACACAGTGTTTCATAAAGTCAGGGCCCCAGATCATCACCTGGAAGCCAGTTCAAAATACAAATTCTCAATCCCCACGGGAGACCTGCTGAATCAGGAACTCTTGAAGGGGGTGGCCTGGACCTCTGTTTGGATGAGGCCTCCAGGAGATTCTGATGCACGCTCACGTATATCCATGCATCTGGTCGGCACCTTAGAATAGTCAGCACTTCATGGAGTTCTTGCTGGGCGTCCTGGGTGAGTGCCTAGCACTCAGCACACTGCCTGGCAGAGTCAGGTTTTGAGAAGCATTAGCTGGTCTTTACTTGACCTACAGCTGAGAACTAATAAAAGCCCGGGCCAGATGCAAAGTTGCCCCACCACCACCACCTTGTAATGAAAATTGCTTATTTTACCACATAGTGCCCACAACTCAGCACTCGTTTCATTCGCATGTCCTGGGCACCCATCAAGAGACATGTTGGGCAGGCTCAGAGGGTACAGAATCCACATCCATCCTGAGTTCAGGTCACCACACAGCAGGTGTGTCAGGGTTCAGACCACTACCCACCACCTCACAGCTGCGACACTCTGGGCAAACAGCTAATTAGTGTCTTCATCTGAAATGGAGATGATACAGCCCTCAGATCAGAGGTTTTTCCCCATCTCTTAAACAGGAGATGAGCAGCAAGAGGTGTCTTTCCACATCATCCTGTCTTTGGGTGACACTAAACTGGCAGCCACCAGGTTGACATGAGGGGCGACATGGAGATCCCACTTAGGATAGGAGGGAGGAGTGAGTAATGGAGGAACCAGCCCTTCCTGGCACAGATGAGCTGCAGAATTAACCCACCCACCCTGGAGTGCCCCTACCTCCAGACTTCCCTTTACAAGGAGTAAAAAGTCCCCTCAAGGCTTTCAAGTCAAATTGAAACCAGAAGTGACAAAAGTCCACACATATCCAGGGCAGGTTCATGGGGCTGCAGCCTGGACAGTTGCACAGGGTCCCACACTGAATTTAATGCTCTCCTGTGGCCATCTTGACATTCTTAACACTTTTTTGTTTTTCTTTTGTCAACATTTCTGCATTTTTCTTCTGCTCTGGGTGCCACAAATTAAGTATCCATTCAGGTTTGTGCAGTGTCCACACATCAGCGCTCTGTGTCTGGAGTTCAAGTACACCAAGAATATTAGTGAGGAGTGGAATGAAGGAATGACCCCCTGGATGTTCTCTCTCCATCTCTTCACTTGGCAACATGGTTCATCCCTCAGGAACCAGTTCAGACACTGCCTCCTCCAGGGTCCAGGGAGCTTTCCCAGACCATTCCCACCTCAATAAGCCTGGACCAAGTGCCACATCTGAGCTTGTGCAGTACCCATTTTCTCTCTGTCTTGTGCCTGGACTATTTTTAGGTGTCCAACTCCATACCAGAAGCCCAGCTGCTGCCAGCTCTGAGCTTGGGGCCTGCGGGTTAATGAGTAAACAAGGATTGAGGGAAAGTGATTCCCATCCTGCTTCCCAAGCCTGGGGGTTAGAATTCCTTTGGCAGCAAGGTTAGGCCAGACCTCACCAAAGCTTGTTGGCTCCTTTGTAACACCGCTATAATTATAACCTTAAATAATAATTAACGTTTCTCTTTGTGTGGAGCTTTCAAGCAGGCAGACCCGCTAGGGCAGGTGAGGATCTGGGTTATCTCTGGGTCTCCAGCCTGTGGCACCTGTAGGCTCAGGTGATATTTATTGGATTAATGGATGATGGATGAGCAGGTGAAGGTGAGAGGTGACAGTCCGGGAATGAGTGGCTGGCGTGTCCCTGCAGTCTGCACCACACAAGGAGGGCTTCTAGGGCTGCTGGATCTGAGTGTGAGTCATCTTAGTCAGGCCTCAGGAAATACTTGAGAATGAATAATGAAATTGTTAATGAATTGCTTAATGATGGGCTCTCACTACTTGCTATGTTATTTCACCCTCACACTCACCCCGGGAGACAGGCAGAGCAGATCAAAGCATCAGCCTGGTTTATAGGTTTACAGTTGGGACAGGTGAAACTCAGCAAGGTTAGTGCACCTTCCCCAAGTGGTATGAGGAGAGAAAGAGAGGTGGGGCCAGACCAGGTTATACCACCAGCAGCAGGAGTGGGGCCTGGTCTCCCTCCTGCAGGTCTCAGGCCAGCCTATGTAGCGGATCTTCCGCTGGCCAGAGGACCCTCTCCCCTGGATGCACAGACAGTGAGCATGCCCTGCAACAGGAAAGAGTCAGGTAGAGCTCTATTGTCTCACAGTTCTGGAGACTAGACGTCCAAGTTCAGGGCGTCGGTACGGTTGGTTCCTTCCGAGCATTAATCTGGGGGTAACAAATTTTAAAAGTAGGCAAACTCGCAGATATGGAATCCACATATAATGAGAACCGACTATTTTCTACCAACAACTTCCAGTTCTTTTGTCAAGAGAGAATCCCAACCAAACCTTAAAATGACTTTCTTGTATAAACATGAACTACAGGTCACTGTGTGACATGGCCTTTTCCCAAGGCCACTTATTCTGGAATACTGAGGACCTCATGTGAGGTGTGGTGTTTTTCCACAGAGGCTCACAGGGGTTCAAAGGCTCTGTTTCCACCACATTGTTCAGCAGAGAGAGAGGGAGAGAGGGAGAGAGAATTCCAACCTGAGTTCAGGGAGTGCCCCATTGTAAAGACTGGGCCCCACCTCTCCAGTGGCCCCTTTGGAGGGCTAGGGAGATGTGAGGTCAGATGTGGAAGCAGCAACCCAAGCATCTTACATCCCTATGATAATGTCAGGAAAAACCATCCCAGATAAATAAGCGTTTATTGAAGCCCTGCAGCAACAACAAGAAAAGCACTCCCATCCCTTCACAACACTAGGAGTTCATGCTGAAACTTTTATAGCTCTGAGAACAATCCACCACCTGAAAGAAAAAGTGTAACCAGTTTTACAGTTTGTTTACACGACCAACACCACTTAAGACCTGACCTCTCTTCAATTTTCTCATGACATTTGTAATTGCCAAAGCAGGTTTGTCTTGACATGAGCTGATCCCTGAAGGGATCATATATTTTTCTCATTAAATAATGAGGATCATAATGTATTTGAAAAATTAAGTTTATTAGAAGCTTATTAAGTTAGCTTTATAGTTAAAGAAGTCTTTGAAGGTTTTTATCTCTTGTTTCTTAATTTTGTTTTTTGTTTCATTTTTGGTAATCCTCTCCTTGGGTGAGAAGAGTTTTGAGGAACAGAAAGTGCAACATGTAGCCAATTCAATCTCATTTGGGGATTTTTATTCTTTAACACATGTCCTTAGGAAAGCATTCTAGTGAGATGAGCATTTCATGCTTAAGAAGAAATGCGTGTTCATGCTTTCATATTTCCTTTCGCGAGGTCTGAAAGTTTGTGTCCTCTCCCCAAATAATTCATGGTGAAATCCTAATGCCCCACGGAATTGTGTTAGGGCGTGGGGCTTGGGGAGGTGATCAGGTCATGAATGAGATTAGTGCCCTGATGAAAGAGGCTTCAGAGAGATAGATAGTTTACCTGCGTCCACCACATTAGGATGCAGTGAGAAGCCAGCCATGAACCAGGAGAGAACCCCCATATGAAAGCGACCGTGCTGGCTCCTTGATCCTAGGCTTCCAGGCTCCAGAACTGGGAACCATATATTTCTGTTGTTTATAAGCCACCCGGTCTGGTGGGATCTTGTTATAGCTGCCTGAATAGACTAAGACAAAAGTGAATACTCACATGTATATCTACATCTGTCTTCCATGTCTAGCACCTGTTTCACGGGATTCGTGCAAGGATAAAATAAGATCATATAAGTGAACAGGTAGTTATTATTATTAACTCTTGGGATGGTGACTTAGAAGGTAGCTGGTCTTCATTCAGGGTTCCTAGCCCACAGCTCTGAAAACCCTCGGAATTTCCTAAGTGTGGAGAGGGACAAAGGTGTCTTTTGTTATGATAATGAGGTGGTTTTGGGTGGGGGCTAGTTGTCAGGAGAACCAACCATTAAATTCCATCAGGGTTGGAGGTTGAATTCATTACCAATGGCCAATGACTTAGTCAAATATAACTTGTAATGGGAGCTGCCATAAAAACCCAGGACAGTACCATTTTTCTGCAGGCTTCTCCATTTTGGGGAACCAGAGCACTTCCAGGTGCCACCATGCTGGGCCCCAAGCTCCACGAGGATAGAAGCTCCTTCCTTCTGTACCTCAACCATACTCTGTAATAGCCTTTGAAATAAATCAACCGTCTAGTGAGTAAACAGATTTTCTTGAATTCTTTGAGCCATTCCAGCAAATTCACTGATCCCAAGGACAGATGGTTGGAACCTCCAATCTATAGCCAGTTGGCCAGAAGCACAGGTAAGACCCTAGACTTGTACTGGCATCTGAAGTGTGTGGGGAGACCTTCAAGGAAGCCTCGAACAGTGACAAGACTTTCAGGGTTCCAGTCTCAGCATTGCCCTTGCTTACTGTGAGTTCAGGACAAGAGGGTCCGTCATTATAGGGGGGGTGGCACAGGAAGGGGGTGGGAGCACGGGGGTTTACCCAACCTGCTTGAGTCATGAAGAACAAGTGGGAATTAGTTAGAGGAAATGAGAGAGGGTGGCAGGTGGAGAGGACAGCTGGAGCAAACACCTACCAGTGAAGAGCTGGCAGCACAGCTGGGAGACTTCCCGTAGTTCCCCATGGCCATAGCCTAGTGTTACCTAGGGGGTCGGTGGCGGGGGCTCTGAGATCCGAGTCTGGAACAGTGGGTCTGATGAAAGGTCTTGAGGCTGGGCTGAGCAGCTCTGACTTCCTCCTTGATCAGAGAGTTTTGGACAGGAGTAGGTTGGTCATAATGGGGTGTTAGAAAGCTCTTTTTGGGCTGTGTTCAAATCCCAGCTCCACCACTTGTTGTGTGGCTTTGAGCATATTACTCAACCTCTCTGAGTCTCAGTTTTTTTTTTGTATGAAACTCGGACAAGAGTCTCCCTGGCTTCTTTCAAGCAACGTTGTGAGTCTGAAGATGCCTCAAACACGTGAGAGTCTTAGGTGTCTCCATGAGTAAGGAGCTTCCTCATTTGGGTGACCAGGGGAGTGGCTATCAGCATGGCCTGGAACTAACAAGGTTTTGGGCATGTAAGCTCCCCTATTCCATCACCAGTTTCCTCCTGCATGAAAAGGGAGCAATGATAGCCCCTATCCGTATTCGTTGGGATGCACTCAGTTACAGGCCCTGGGAAACTCATCTCCACTTGCTCAAATTCAAGAGAGGATTTGTTGGTCAGCACAAAAGCTCTGAGAAAGGGACAGCTCCATCATGGATTTGATTCAGTTGTTCAAAAGTGTCACCAAGGGCCTGTCTTCTTTCCTACTCTTCACTCTGCTTCCTGTGGTGTGGGTCTGTCCTCTGGCTGGTATCCCTCATGGTGGAAAAAAGAATGCCACCATTCCAAGCATCATACCCTATATCCTGCCATCCAGAAAGAGAGGCAGAGTGAGCCTGTTTACCAGAACAGCACTCAAAATCCTTCTCTATCACATCAGCGCCAATTGGGTCACATCCTACCCAAAGATAGAGACCGTGGGTATTATTTTACCTTGACTGGCTTGACTCTAAGACAGGTGTTACTCCTGCTTCTTAACACCCAGGAATAGAGTTGTCTCCTCCCTTCCATGCACTCCTCAGCAATTGGGATGCATGAAGGAGGCATAGAAATCTGGGGAAGTCAGCGAAGAGACGAGGGTGGATGGGGTTACAGAACAACCCACGGTGTCCGCTACCCAGGATTGCCAGATTTAGTAAATAAAAACACAGGATGCACAGTTCCACCTGTATTCCAAATAAACAACAAGTAATTCTTTTGGTTGAGCATCAGGATGTTCTCACATTAAAAATAAAATTATTCATTGTTTGTTGGGAATTCAAATTTAGTGGATTGTCCTGGAGCTTTCTGGCATCAGCACATCTCAAACTTTCTCGAGGTCAAGAAGTACTTTTGAGGATTGGGTGAAAATGCAGATTCTGACTTGGTGGCTAGGAGTGGGGCCTGGGACTCTGCATCCTCAAGGCTCCTGGGGCATGGGGAGATGTTAACTGAAGTAAAGCACTCAGCACTGTGTCCAGCCTGTGATGAAAACTCAAGAGATGATTACATCTGAAACTTACTGGATTTCGTTAACTAATGTCACCATAACAAAAAGAAAGAAGAAAAGAAAGAAAGAAAACTCAAGAGATGGTTACTATCATGATAATGTGAAAAGTGCGATTTTGTGATTGCATGTGTGTGTGTGTGTGTGTGTGTCTGTGTTTCGGGGGACTTCTTAGTATTTGCATTTCAACAGCTGCAGACTCTCCATCTGCCATCTGGCTACCGTAGATGAGATGTCATAAGAGGACCGTTTGAGAGGGTTGTAAGGGCTCTAGCTGTTCCTTGTCCCCTGCACTGTGATTCCTGTGAGCATAGCCACACCAGCGACTCACACATCACCTCCTCCAACCCGTCTTCATTCAACGCACTGTGGGCGACCTGGGGTTCTTTGGTTACAGATGACTGAAACCTGAGTGGAATTAGCTGAGGCCCAAATGGGGATTTTTCTGGAAGGGGTCTTAAGGGAAGAGCTGGACATCCAAACCTCAGGAGGCTTAGGGGTCCCAGAACTCAGTCAGGTCACTCTCTTTTCCCTGTGATCTAATTTGGTTCCATGACTTTCAATTACATCTAGGTGCTAACGAATCTCTGAAGGGGAGTCTTGTCATTGCTTTTACTACCTAGCGTTTGAAAACCCTGTATTAGCTAGCATAGGGGAAGCTTCCAGAACAATGAAAGCCATGTCTTAGTCTGTTTGGGCTGCTATAACAAAATACCACCAAATGAGTGGATTGTAAACAACAGAGATTTATTGCTCACAGTTCCGAAGCCTGAAAGTCCAAGATCAAGTTACCTTCTGGTGGGGGTCCCCTTCCAGGTTCATCGCTGGTGAGAACCAATCACAAGGTCACACTCAGATACCAGGAGGACTGGTCAACGCTGACCCTAATTGGGGGCAGTGCCCCGTGAGTAATTCCACCCTTTGGAAGGGAAGAGCAGGTTTTGGTGGAGAGTTGGCCATCTCTGCTGCAGCCCCATTCTATGTTTGGGAAATGTCCCAACTTTGGTTTGGCTAAAGAGAGACTCTGAAAGACCCATGGCTTAAATCAGAAAGTCATTTCTCACGTACTACGTCGGGTCTGTCTTGCTCCTTGCAGCTTATTGATCCACTGTCTTCAATACACAGCTTCCAACATTGTGATCTGCTCCAGATCTCACCTTTAGGTTCTCGCTTTGGCCAGCTGGGAGTGGGGCACAGGAATGAGGACGAAGCTGTCCCTTCTCACCTTTGGGCCACTGCAGACACGTAAATGATCGGATTCAGAGGAGCACAGATAAGTGACGTTTTTCATAAACAAGTTTCGTGGTGTAAACTTCACACCCATAATAATAATGTGTTCATTATTGTCATAGCGCTTTCCCTCTGTTCTCAGATGTATTGAAACATTTACCTTTGTGATATTTCTGAAGGCCAGACAACACATCTTGCTATTTACATGTACCCCTTAGTACAGTCTTGCTTTACTTTCTCTACTGAAAGATGTTAAATCAACAATGCACATCTTATGATTGATGACTGCACTGAAAATTTAGGGTATACTCTCCATACTCTAGAATTTAGGGTATACTCTAGCACCCACAGCAGTAGAAATATTACTACTAATACTAATAACCACCGTTTTCACTGAGAGCTTACTGTGAGCCTGGAGTGGAATTAAGCAAATTTACGCAGATTATCTCGCTAAATCGAGGCTGTAAAAGGTGTTATTCAACGAATGAACTGTATACCCGCTCTTTCCAAATCTCAACCTTGGTGACTGCAACAACGCGGCTGTGATCAGATATTCTATCCTGGGAGGCAGTGTGACCAGCCGCGGTTAAAACTGGGAGCCAGATTCCACAGGTTCGAGACCAGGCCTTGCACACTAGGCATGTGAAATTCTGCGAGCGCCCCGAACTCTGTCCCTTATCTGCAAACTGGGACTCGATTATAGGTCGTTAATAGGACCTCATGCGTGAAAAGCCCCCTGAGGCACACAAGGTTTTCTTACTTTAGAAAGGGGGAAACACACGGACTTGGGCCGGCGCCGGAGGCCAGCACGCTCTCTGTCCGGTAACGCAAGGTGCGGAGTCGCAAAGGACTGAGCCCTCCAGCGCAGGCGCCGGCCACTGTGGGGAGCGTCGGCAGGGAACGGGTTACAGCAATAGAGACGGCTGGAGGACCCGGGTGGCACGAGCGGCCTGCGCCACTATCTGCACAGCTCCAGCCCGCGACCGGAGAGGGGAGAGGGCTGCGCAGGCGCGAGGGCCCGAGCCCCGAGGGGAGGAGGGCACCTCCCCAGACACCGGAAGTTTCCGCCTAACGGGTCGGGCCCGCGCCTCCGGTCCGGGGAGGGGGCGGGGCTGCTGCCCCTCGGCGCGTGGTGCCATAGAGCGCGGGCGGAGGACCCGCGTCCTAGACGTGCCCGGAAGTGGCTCCCTGGACGCCCACCCGCTCGCACCATAGAGCAGGGGGCCGCGGCTAGGGGGGTTGCGGGCTCGCTTTCCTAGAGCGGCGAGGACGGGGTGGCGGCCGGAGTGGGGGTGGAAAGCGGAGGGGGGAGCGGCGCGGGCGGAAGCGGCCAGGAAGGTCACTTCCGGCCTGGGCGCCCGTCCCCCTGACCCCAGGGTCTGAGTCGCCGCTGCCGCCGCTGCCACCATCGGCGAGGGAGGCGAGAGGAGGAGGA